TGAGAAGGCAAAATACCTTTTCTTTATCTGGGACTGGTTTACCAATTGCAGCAAGACTATCACATAGGCCTTTGAAAGTTCGGATGTGTTCTCCAATTGTTTTGTCATCTTCTTTCCGAAGGTATGTTACTTGTTGCCTGAGTGTGAATTCCCGTTCTTGTGATTCTTCTGCGTAGGCATTTTTTAGTGCTTCCCATACAGCATTTGCTGTGTCTAAACCCACGACGAGGCCAAGCGTTTCTTCAGTGAGTGTTCCAATTATCCACCCTCGAAGAAGTCGATCTGCCTTTCGCCATGTGATGTATGCTTCTGTCATTTTTGGTGCAGGGGTTTGTTCAATTGTGGAATCTGGTATGGTGTATTTAGGTGGGGCAGGATCTTCATTGGTAAGGTGACCAAGCAAGTCTTGGCTTTCTGCAAGGGCCAATACTTGTTCACGCCACAATGGGTAATTTGTAGGACTGAGTTTGAGAGTAATAAAATTTCCTACGTTGAGAGAGAAAGAAGTCATGATTATTTGGAGGCTATTTGAGCTGCTGGATTGCGGTTGTGCTGTGTTCACAACCTGGCTCTGATACCAAGAGAAAAAACTGAAAGAAGGAGGAAGATGGAAGAAATCAGCCAGTTATTATTCGTAAACACAGCAGAATGTTTTTCTTATGTTTCTAGGTTACCAAATACCGAGGACCACGTCCTCTATTTAAACACAATTAATAGATTACATAAAAGGCAAGTAGCATAAAATCTGTATCAATCATTCCTCTGTTTGAATCCGAGATTAGCTCAATCATGCCATTGAATCTCCTTCATCCATCCCACAAATCATGCTGAGCTGCTGGTTACCATTTTGGGTTGAAGTTGTTGCCTTTGAGTCTCCTTCATCAGTCCCACAAATCATGGTGAGTTGCTGGGTTTCCTTATCACTTCTTTGACTCCCACAAATCACGTTGAGCAGCTGGATTGCGCCAATAATCACCGAAAGGCAAAATTGGAGTAGAGATACCTGGTCCAAATGTAGCGGTCTGGATGCCAACAATTTCTTCTCCTGACTTTGTTTCATGTAATAAATCCTTCCCTTTGTCTGTGGTCCTGCTTGTTGGTTGTATAACTGAGTCCTCTATCTCGTCTTCCTCTTCTTCATCCCAGGAAAAATCGTCGCTTGGAAGTGCAAAATTAATCTCTGACAGAGAAGGAGAGCTCATTCCCATGCCATGAGGTAATTGTTGAATTCAGT